ACCACTTTCATCATGGAAAGGATAGCATTTTGTTCTTACTGGAAAAGATACTTATTCTGGATATGGATTTGCCTTCCCTACTGACAATGCTTCTGCCAAAACTACCATCCGTGGACTTACAGCATGCCTTATCCATTGTCATGACATCCCACACAGCATTGCTTCAGATCAAGAGACTCATTTCACAGCAAATGAAGTATGACAATGGGCCTATGCTCATGGAATTCACTGGTCTTATCATGTTTCCCATCATCCTGAAGCAGCTGGCTTGATAGAAAGATGGAATGACCTACTGAAAACACAATTATGGCACAAGCTAGGTGGCAATACCTTGAAGGATTGGGGCAATGTTCTCCAGGAGGCTGTATATGCTCTAAACCAGTGTCCAATATATGGTTCTGTTTCTCCAATAGCCAGGATTCACAGGTCCAGGAACCAAGGAGTGGAAACAGAAGTGGTATCACTATTACCCCTAGAAACTCACTCAAAAAAAATTTTGTTTCCTGTCCCTGCTACCCTATGCTCTGTGGGTCTGGAGATCTTAGTCCCAAAGAGAGGAACACTCCCACCTGGAGACACAATACTTATTGCATTGAACTGGAAATTAAGAATTCTACCAGGTCATTTTGGTTTCCTCATGCCTCTGAATCAACAGATAAAGAAGGGCATTACTGTGCTATCTAGTGTGACAGATCCTGATTCCCAAGGGGAAATTGGATTGACATTACAAAATGGAGGTAAAGAAGAATATGTCTGGAATAGAGGAGATTCTTTAGGAGTCTCTTAGTACTTCCATGTCCTGTGATTAAAGTCAATGGAAAATTACAGCAACCCAATTCTGATATGACTGCTAATGGCCCAGACCCTTCAGGAATGAAGGTTTGGGTCACCCCACCAGGCAAAGAACCACAACCAGCTAAGGTGCTTGCTGAGGGCAAGGGAAATAGAGAATGGGTGGAAGAAGGTAGTTCCGAATATCAGCTATGACCACATGACCAGTTTCAGAAACAAGGGCTGTGATTGTTATATTTCTTCATTGTATATGGGCATCAAATATTTTTGTTTCCTCTTGTTATGAACTGTGAAATGTAAATAAGGTTAAGGCATTTCAGTTGTACGTGTATTAGTGTATCATGTTAGGCACAAATATGACTTTATAATTGTCCTTCTTTAGAGATTATATATGGTAAGAAGATGTGTACAACTGCCAAGTTGACAAGGGGTGAACTGTGATAGTTGGACTTGTGTGTCAACTTGGCTGGACCACAATTCTATGTGGTTTAAGCAAATATGATGTGGGTTGTTCCAATGATGGATCAGATGTATATGTTTTGAGCAGCCAATCCACTGAAAGGGAGTTTCCCTAGGGGTGTAAACTGCTTCCAATATATTTATGGACATCCTGGGAAAAGAGACACTCTTCTGTAGATCGGGATCCTGCTGTGCTGCCTACAACTGTCCGAGTGAACAATCCACCATTCAGCCTGGAGATCTTGGATTTGTCATTCATTGAAGTCAACAGCCAGTATACTGCCTGCAAACCTTGCGCTCCTCAGCCCCTGCAGCTGCGTGAGTCGGGAAAATCCTCCAGCTTGACATTTGATCCAAGAACTTTGGACTTGCCAGCTCCTATAAGTGTGTGAGTCATTTTCCTAAGATAAATTTCCCTTTCTCTCTATATACAATCTTTACTGGTTTTGTTTCTCTAGAGAACCCAGCCTAACACAGTATTGAAAGCCACAACTCAAGGGGACTGTCTTGTATTTCTGGGTCTCACAAGTTTTTCACCTTTGGCATGGTGCAGTGTTACACTCTTATATCTCTACTAGTGGAAAGCAATTTGAATTTTCCTTCTCTGACAGGTTTCTGCCTTACACAGGTTCTGGCTTTCACAGATTTTACTGTTCATACTGTATTTTGGTGTGCCTGAAAAAAGATGTTTATGCCATCCCTATCTTCTCCCAGGAACAAATCCTATAAAGAACAGTTCTTGTTTAGTTCAGCATATGGGACTTACAGGAAATATAACCAAATCACTTAAGTTAGCATGTACAAAGATTGTCATTGAAAACTGCAAAATAAGAAATGCCCATGGTAAAATTCAAAAAAATATATTGACAGAAATTTTGTCACATCCTTACTTGCCAATGTTTCTTCCTAAAGCAGGATAAATGTTTGCATACAAACGTTTGTGCCTCATTTCCTGAACTGAATGTGAGTTTAGTATCCAGAGCTGCCAAAGCACTCAGTCAAAACTTCAGCTGGACTAAATCATAACTCAGAGGAAATAAAGAGAAGATGCCGGCATTATGCTAAATTTATCAATCAAATGAACTTAGCCATTTTCAACAAAGTTAAGCAATTTCTTTTCATGGGAAATATTCTTAAAGTATGCTCCTTAGTCTAGCAACAGCAACATCATTTAGGAACTTGTTGGATGGTGAAAGAAAGAACACTGAAAAGTGCACATAAGATATAGACAACAGAGGCAAATACTATTACATGCACAATACTTCATTACCACTAACACCAAACACCAGGCTATGGGTAAATGTATAGACAGGTGAGAAGATCAGGTGGGGGCTGGCAAACAGGAATGCACCCTACATCTAAGACAGATTTGGCTGAACATAATCTTACATATGCACTTGTGTTACAAAAGTAACCACATACATTATAGAATAAAAAGAAGACAGAGTTGGGGTGACTTCTCAGAGATAACCAGACACCTTGAGAGAGAGAATCACCAGGCCTGTGGACTTGGGACATAGTCTTGGGGGACATGATGCTAAACTGGCACAGCATAATACATAAAAATCTTGTTCTACAACCTACTTTGGTGAGTAGCAAGTGGGGTCTTAAAAGCTTTTGAGTGGCCATGTAAGATACAACTATTTGTCTCCTCTCATCTGAATAAGAGAAGAGTGAAAAAAATCAAAGGCATCTGGAAACAATTACTCCAAGGATAAGATGGACCATGAGGACCTCAGCCTTCATGATCTTGAAACCAGAAGAACTAGATGGTGCCTGGCTACTAATGTCAGGTACTCAGAAAGGGATCACAATTGGACACCCTGGATAGAGTGGGAGGAAAAATGTGGAACAAAATTCAAAAACATAAAAATGACAAAAATTACTGGTTGGATAGAGTCTTGTGGAACCCCCAAGAATATGGCCCTGGTTACCTTTTGGCCCTAGATATGTACTCACTTCCTTGGATTGGCTCTCAGCCCAACAGTAGAAAGACCTACATACAAAACACCTACCCTAGGGCAATGCACCAATCTCTTCTAGGGAGATGTACCCCTTAGAGTAATCAGCGATGAGACACCAGAGGGGCAGCATTCACACAGAGGGAAAGCTGGACAGACAGGAATGGATAGTCAAGAAGGGCACAGGGAGAGGAGGGGAGGAGAGTTTTTTATGGTCAGACATGGTAATTGGGTGTGAAATCAAATGTGCATGAACAGCTGAATGCAAAACAAATTTTCTTTGTAAATTTCTACCCAAAACACAGTAAAATTAAAAAAAATAAATGTAGAGCCTCGCAAACCCAATGGGGCAGGTCCATTCTGTAAAAAAAAAAAAAAAAAAGGAAGAAGAAGAACTTGTTGGAATTACAAATGCTTAAGCCCACCTCAAATAACAGGAGCACTAGGGGTAGGGATACACCACTCTACTTTTAGCAAGTTTTTCAAATGATTCTGATACATATTAAAGAGAATCAGTGACATAGAGTATAGATTGTACTTATACAGGTACAAAAAGATATTTGTGATGCTGCCAATACATAGGGAAGCTCTGGTGGCATAGTGCCTAAGGCACTTGACTGCTAACCGAAAGACTGGTGGTTCAATCTACCAGTCACTCCCTGGAGGGAAGGTTGGGCAAACTACTTCTGTAGTGATACCATCTTGGAAACCCAAAGAGTGGTCTCTATGAATTGGATCCGACTCAACAGCAGTGAGCTTGGTTTTTTTGTTTGGCCAATACATAATGAGAGAAGCTCTGAAAATAAATAGGAAAAAGGAAAGTAGAGAAAAAAGGAATAAAGAAAGAGAGAAACAAAGAAAAGAACAGAAAGCCTATATTTCTCCTGTGGTTCCTATCCTAGTAACTAGACTGTTTTATTTTTCTTACCTAATAAACAGTTGCTTTGGCAAAGTATAAACTGTCTCATGAAGTTTTGTTTTAAAAATTTAATCTAGAACTCTTTACAAAAGGTCACAGGAAATATTTATAACAAATTTTATGTAACCATTTGTTCTAAAATAGTTTTTATTTCTTTTCAGCTAAACAGTTGTTTCCTCATAATTTGGAAAATATTTTTAGCTATATAAAGAAGAGCTCCTTCTCTCCTCATTTTCTGAGAAACATACACCCACAACACACAAACACACGTTTATACAGAAAGATACGTAAGTAAGTTCTATGCAACTATGTCTTTTAATGCTACCATTAAACCTCTATGGGTGAATGTAGCATATTGCTACATACAATTGTTGTTGTTTTGGTTGTTGTGTGCTGTCAGGTGGATTCTGACTCATAACAATCCTGTAAGCTAGGAGAACTGTCCCATAAGGTTTCCTAGGCTGTAATCTGTATGGAGAACAGGTTATCAAATCTTTACCTCAGAGTAAAGATGGATTAGAAAGCCTTGGATAGCCCTTTGGTTAGCAGCTGAGCTCTCAACCATTGTGCCACCAGGTCTCCTTACTACCTATGGTAGATACATAAATTTAATAATTTATTCTACTTATCTTCTTAGGAGCTCTGGTGGCGTAGTGCCTAAGGCACTTGACTGCTAGTCAGAAGGCTGGTGGTTCAAACCCACGAGCCACTCCTTGGAAAGAAGAAGGGGCAATCTACTTCTGTAGTGATACTTCCTCGGAAACCCAAGGAGGGGTGGCTATGAGTCGGGTCCAACTCGATGGCACATAACAACAACAACAATAACTAAAAAGTCCTAAACATATATTTTTCCATTTGTTTATAGAAGTATGGAGAAGTGGAATAAATTTTCCAATCAACAGGAGGAAGCTGATAACTGCTCAGAATCTGTGAAATTTGATGCTCACTCAATGACAGCTTTGATTCCTCTGAGTAAGTAGAAGGGTTGTCTGCCCATGGAGGTTGTTCTTAGAGTTATTGATAATAGGTAAAATTAAAGTCTTGAGACTTAATTTTAGCATTTAAGAATGTTAAACTGATAGTTATCTGACAAATAGGTCCACTGCTCTTTTGAGACAGAATAGAAAATAAACTTAAAGTCAGGAACCATTGCATCAGATTAAATTGGTTCACAATAAATTGACATCTCTGAATTCCCAGCCTCAGTGGGAGGTTTTAGAGATGACTACAGACTCTGGTAGCATAGTGCCTAAGGCACTTGACTGCTAACCAGAAGGATGGTGGTTCAAACCCAACAGCCACTCCTCGGAAGGAAGGTTGGGCAATCCTACTTCCGTAGTGATACTGCCTCGGAAACCCAGGGAGGGGTCGCTAGGAGTCGGGGCTGACTCGATGGCAAATAACAACAACAACAACACAGACTCTGGTGGTGTAGTGCCTAAGGCATTTGACTGCTAACCAGAAGGCTGATGGTTCAAATCCACCAGCCACTCCTCAGAAGGAAGGTTGGTCAATCTACTTCTGTAGAGATACTGCCTGGAAAAGTCAAGGAGGGGTCGCTATGATTTGGAAACAACTGGATGGCAGTGTTTTTTTTTTTTTTTTAATGCCTCTACAACTGTGAACTAATATTTGAAAACTGTAGGTTATAGGTACTGAAACACATATCTGTATAGGTTACAACAAGAAATCAAAAGAAGAACATTCAGCTATAGCTGGGCATGCTTATTTAAAGAGGTAGGACAGAGTTTATAATTCCACCAAGTCTTGAAAGATGAATACAGTTCACCAGGGTAATCAGTGAGAAAAAGGGAGTCAAAAAGACATTTTAGTGAGAGCAAGCAGCATATACAAAGTTAAGGGGTCATGAATGAATTCTTACATAGGCAAACCTGGGTGTAGGTCAGAACTCCAAGGCAAGGTGGAATTTTGTGCCTTGTGAAGGATGGAAGTTAGGGTATGGCTCCAGTGAGTCAGAACCAAAAACAATAGTAGTAAAAGCAGTGATAATAAAAGTATGAGAAGTTAGGACAGAGACACTGGGGACAGAAAAAAGGCAACAGAAACTTTTGATCACTATTTAAAAATGTATTTTTTTTTTCTTTTTCTCACTTCTTGTCTCTTCACTTTTCCGTTTAATTCCACCACAAAACCAAACCAAAGTGACCTCCACTGGGTTTCCAAGGCTATAAATCTTTACAGAAGTAAATTGCCCCATCTTCCTTCTGCAGAGCGGCTGGTGGATTCAAACTGCCAACCTTCTGGTTAGCAATCAAATTCTTTAGGCACCGTGCCACCAGGGCTTGAACAATGCTTAACATTTTATTTCGGAGTTGGCAACCTGAAATCCAATTTTACTTCTTTTTGTACTGAACAATAAAAACAAAAGCCATCAGAAACAATCTTTGAATAGATGTTTTATTCACCTAGTCAGAGAAATGTCTTCATCTACTAAGTTTCCAGTTCCTATTGATTTATCTCCACCACTTTAGCATCCACTACATAAACCACTCTTCCACATAAATACATAATGCTAAGAGGTTATTGTTAGGAATACATTCTGATCTATCAAGAGGATGGGTTTCAGGGATCCTTTCCAAAGTCAAAGTGGAAATGCTTGAAAAATTCATAATTATGCTAAGTTACTTGAGGAATCTCATGTTAACCCAGAGCATCACAATATTTTCTAACAGTCCTTTGGGTTTTTGTTTTTCAGATCCTAAAAATGGCCCTGCTCTTCAAGAGAAACTGAAGTCTTTCAAAACTGCATTGATTGTCCTTTATCTCCTTGTGTTTGCACTTCTCATACCTATCATTGGAATACTGGCAGGTACAGTATTATACAATTCTGTAACTCAGCAACTCATCTGTAATTACTCATTGCAGAAGCAAAAAAATAAACTGTCTTTTGCATATGGTAGATTCATAAGAGAAACATCGTATTACAAGCTGTTCCTCAAATTTATTAAATGAAAAATAGATTCTGAAATGTATTAAGTAGAAAAGGTAGATTTTTTAAAAGTAAAAGACAACCAAAATCTATCAATTTTTGTTTGTTTGTTTGTTTCTAACAATATAAAAGAAAATGTATGGGTGTTGTTGTGGGTGAGTGGATGGGTGAGTGAACGTGTGTCAATCTCTGCAATGTGCAAAACCGTCAATGAAGGGTTAAGACTTAATATATATTTATAATTCAGTCACTTTCAGAAGTAAGATAGCTGAAGTGAAAATATCTAAAAGCAAATTAATCCTTTGTTGTTGTTGTTGTTATGTGCTGTGAAGTCGGCCCCAACTCATAGCGACCCCTCCTTGGGTTTCCGAGGCAGTATCACTACGGAAGTAGGATTGCCCAACCTTCCTTCCGAGGAGTGGCTGGTGGGTTTGAACCTCCAGCCTTCTGGTTAGCAGTCAAGTGCTTTACCCACTATGCTACCAGAGCTCCCAAATTAATCCTTAAACATTTCATCTTTGGTATTTATTTACAATTATTGTTTTTCCTATTTTAAATTACTTTATAGTCAAATCTTAAAAAGTTATCCTGCTACAAAACTGTTGAGATGGAATTGGAAAAACAAATTAATTTTGCATAACAGACATTGACAATAAATATTTATCTTCTCTCTGATCTTCACGTTTACATTATAATTTAAAATATTGTTGTTAACTGTGAATTTAATAATTCCCTGAAACATCAGGAATAGCATATTACTGTTATTAAAAAAGCACAGCACAAAGAAATGCTTCCATTTTAGTGATCCATGTGGTTTTCAGTCATTGAAGTGATTACTATTACTATAAATTTACCATTTCAGTTTATACATTCTCCCCATGCATGAGACATAGACTTTTTCTTATGAAACAGAGAATAAAATTTGTTTCTATATGTTAGTACCAATGTTAACATTTACTACCTAATACCAAAAATGATTAAAGTACAATTTGTAGAGAACAATCACTTTCTCATAAATGTTTAGTGAATGGACAGGTAAATATCAGTAGTGATACCTGTATTGGCTTTTCCTGTGATAGTCTCTTTTTATTCCTACTGAATAAATGCTACCCTGTTTTATTTTAGGAGCTCTGGTGACATAGTGCCTAAATCATTTGACTGCCAACCAGAAGGCTGGTGGTTGAAATCCACCAGCCACTCCTTGGAAGGAAGGTTGGGCGATCTACTTTTGTACTGTTACCGCCTTGGAAACCCAAGGAAGGGTCGCTATGAGTCAGATCTGACTCGATGGCAGTGAGGTTTTTTTTTTTTTTTTTTTTTGGTCTCTCTTTTATACCAAAAGGCTTGGTAGCAACAATTTATTTAGAGATTTAAAAAATTAATTAAGAAAAATAAGACAAAAATATCAATATGAAAAGGTAAAATGAAAGAATTAGACAATTTTTAAAAATCCCCAAAAGTATACATTTCTAGCAAAACTCTAACCACACTCACTGCCATCGAGTTGATTCCAGCTAGTAATGACCCCACTGGATTTCCAACATTGTAAATATTTGCAGAAGCAGACTGCCCCATCTCTGTTCTGTGGAGCAACTGGTGAGTTCAAATCATCAACCTCTTCATTAGCAGCGAATGCCTTAACAGCTACACCACCAGTGAGTCACAACTTTAATGAAAAATATTCTAGTTCCATAAAGATATAAAGCAGATCATTTACATTAATATTCCTATAATATAAAAGCAAGCCAGTTTTTTTCTATGAGAAGTTCTACTATTTCTAGTACTGAGAGCAGAGAGAATTAATCTGTGAGTCTTCAAAGAGAGGAGACCTTGTAAACTAATGTCCTATACCTCAGCAATACCCTTATAGTTTTTATGGCCACATATATCTTAGGGCTATTATTTAAAACATCTTTCAAGATGACATGATACTATCTACTGGGGATATGGGAAGGAATAGAAAGAACGCTTTACTTAGGCTCAACTTGACATCCTCCAGATACGTGGCTCTTTGGAGAGTCTGGCTTGAACCGGGGATAAATTTCAGTATTTCTTCAAGTGTGGATGGTTGCATATACCTCAAACAAATCTGCACGTATTATTTCCCTCAGTAGTATTTTTGATGGATTTGAAAAACAAGACATTTGTATTTATGTGCCTAGTAGCTCGCCACTTCTCTATACCCAGTAAAATGTCAGACATATGCTGTAACGAGAAAGACTGGGAATAAAATTTATTTTCATTTGCATATTAATGGTCTAAGAAGAAAAGTCTCCTGAATAAAAGGTCCACTATTTTTTGCTAAGGGGAAAATTAAAAAAAATATTTTGAGCCAGGGCCAAAATTCTGCTAAGGGAGAAACTATAATGAAAACAACAGTACAACTCTAACAATAGTTAGAATTTTTGATCATTTACTGCGTTCCAGACACTAGGCTATAAGCTTTTCACAGATTATCTTTATGTACCCTTACAATTACCCTCTAAGCAGATACTATCATTTTCCTCACTATCCACACCAGGAACCTGAGACTGCTCGAGTGCAAAACCATGAATTCTGACTCCTAATCTCTGTGTTCTACTGTCTCCCAGAGTAATTGAGCTTTCATACTAAATAAACAACAAAATCAAAGTTGCCTTGATTCTAACTAGGAAAACAATTTTTACAGATAAAATTTAATGCCTCTTTTGGGCATTAAAATAAACAAACCAAACAAACTACAGCCACCTAAGTGGAAAAAAAAAAATAATGTGTCTGACATTAAACAATTAATTAACTTCCTGATAAACTGAAGCTCTCATACATTGTTTATCTATATGAGTATCTGAAGTTTAAAATACATACCTGTATGATGTTTTGTTACATGATATCATTAGGTCTAAGGCAGGTGTTAGATCAATTTCATCACTTTTATATAAACTACAACCAGTCAAGCTAACCCTAAAAGTGGAACTTCTGTAGGCCCATGCAGAATTCAGAGAAATGTCTGAAAAGAACACAGGGTTCTAAGTTTAAAATCACTGGACTATTAGAAAATACTACCAAGTCAATGGGAGCTCTGGTAGCATAGTGCTTAAAGCACTTGACTGCTAACCAAGAGGCTGGCTGTTTAAACCCACCAGCCACTCCTCAGAAGGAAGATGGGGCAATGTACTTCCATAGTGATACTGCCTCGGAAACCCAAGGAGGGGTCACTATGAGTCGGGTCTGAGTCGATGACATATAAACAACAACAAGTCAATATGTTTGTTCTAAGGTTGACAATGATTGATCTGAAGTAATTTTGTTTCCTAAAACTATAATAGATATCTATTAAGATGGAAAAGAAGCTAAAATTTTTAGAATCTTTTATGTTCACATCAAATGACCTAGATTCACCAGTGGAAGGGAACTCACTCTGTGTATCATGCATGAATGACAAGCAACTGAATGTATTGTTGTCAAGTCAATTCTGATTCATAGCAACAATGCACGACAGTAGACTGCCCATAGGGTTTTCAAGGCTGTAATCTTTACAGGATCAGATCCCCATAACTTTCTCCCACATATGGTGTTAACAGCTGAGTCCTTAACCACTACACCACCAGGGATCTCTCTTCTCATGCATAAAACCAAAAATAAACTCATTGCCATTGAGTCAATTCTGACTCATCATGACCTCCGTTGGGTTTCCAAGGTTGTAAATCTTTACAGAAGCAGGCTGCCCCATCTTTCTTTTGTGGAGAGGCTGGTGGGTTAGAACCAATGACCTTTTGGTTAGCAGCCAAATGCCTTAACCACTACACCACCAGAGCTCCTTTTTCATACACCCCCCCTTGCAAAAAAAAAAAAAAAAAGCACTACTGTCAAGTCAAATCTGACTCATAGCAGCCCCTCTTTGTGTTCCCAAGACAGTATCACTATGGAAGTAGATTGCCCAACCTTCCTTCTGAGTAGTGGCTGGTGGGTTTGAACCACCAGTCTTCTGGTTAGCAGTCAAATGCCTTAGGCACTTTCATATATATATACATATATATAGATAGATAGATAGATAGATAGATAGATATGAAACTCATGTGTCAATCAGTGTTGTGCTTATGTGATTTACATGCTTTATCTCATTCAGTTGTCAGTGTCACCATTAAGGTACTTAGTACTTAGTTATTACTGTGAGGAAACCTGAGCAAGGAGAGGCTAAGAAATCTGTTCAGAGTAACCTAGCTGATGCATGAGGGACAGAGGTAGCTTCTAGAACCAGGAAGCTTGATCCTGTCTAAACACCAGAATCTTCTTTATATAACAGGTATCTCAAAGTAGGGCTGGAACTAAGTGTTTTTCATGTGTTAGCTCATGATGATACTAAAACAAAACAAAACAGTCTTATTGGTATCTCATTTTTATTACAAAGGCCAACAGAAACAGATTCAGGTATCACTGCATATGTAGATTATTTTAAACAATGTGAAGTTATTCTTATTATAAACCAAAAACCAAACTCACTGCCATTGAGTCAGATCCGACTCATAGCAACCCCTTCTTGGGTTTCCAAGATGGTATCACTACAGAAGTAGATTGCTTGACCTTCCTTCTGAGGAGTGAGTGGCTGGTGGGTTTGAACCTCCAGCCTTCTGGTTAGCAGTCAAATGCCTTAGGCACTAAGCCACCAGAGCTCCCATTCTTAATATAATAGGGATCAATTATGGAAATCTTGTGGTAAACCTAATATAACTATAATATAGATATTGATGTAGATAAAAAGAGAAAATACACAAAGAAATATGAAAAAAAAAACCTATATCTTAACCCTCACTAATTAATGATACAATGATGTTTAACATTTTCTTCATTGTACATAATTATGGATTATTTTTGTTTGAAAAGTAAATGATTATCCTTTTCATCCTTTTGGAACTTTCAGCAAGATAATTAGCTTGTTTGTAGAAGACATGCCCCCTTAGAAATATGTATCAGCAACTCAGTATATTCCCAAAATTTCATTTAATAATTTTTTTTTTTCAAGAAATAATTAGCTATAAGATTGTTCATCAAAACATTGACTGTACTAGTGAAAATAGAAGCAAACTTAATGTTGGGGCTTTATTAAATAAATTCTGGTTGATCATCCATAGAATACAAGGCAGTTATTCATATCATTTTTATTGAACAACATTAAGTTATATAAAAAATATTGATTATGTAGGATTAAATTAAAAAGTAGTTTCCAAATTTTATGTAAAATATAATCTTGTTTTTATAAGAACAGCATGATAGTGAGAAAAAGGGGTAAAATATTGAGTATACCTCAAGATGATGAGATTAATGGTAATTATATTACTCATCTTTTCTAAAATTTTCTACTATTAATATGTGTTTTATAATAAGCAAAGATGTTTTAGAAAAAAGTATATTTTTAAGTGAAAATATTTATTGCCCAATTTCCTTCCTCACCAACTATAATTAGGGCTATATAAACTGAAAGTGGTAATTCTCTGCCAGCTTCAGTTATAGGACAAGGGTGATGAGCAGGCATATTATCCATACAGTGGATAACGTTGCTTCTACTTTTACTACATATTGTTTTTGCCATCATCATTATCATTTATTTTCATAATAACTCACAAACTTGACATGTTTACTTCAGAGACTCTTAAGCAGTATCTCATTTTGTACTAACAGCAGTCCCATGGAATAAGCTACCATGCTCTCTATAAACTGCAGAATTTTCTCTAACTGGGCAAGCCAGGTGAAATGTTCCAGATTCATGTAGGCAGCAATTAATAGTAATAAATTCTAATGTAAAGTAGGAAAGGGAGGTTGCTTGCTTCCGTCTAAGAAGCTCTGGTAACATGGTGGTTAAGTTATTTGGCTGCTAATCAAAATTCAGTGGTCTGAACTCATTAGCCATTCCTCAGAAAATGATGACGCAATCTGCTTCCATGAAGGTTATAGTCTTGAAAACCCTTTGTGGTAGGTAATTCTATTCTATCCTATGGGGTTGCTATCAGTTGGAATTGACTTGATGGCAGTGGGCTTACTTTTGGTTTTGTTTCCCTCTAGATAATATGCTTAGTGTAGGTCACACATTTTATGTTTGAGAATAATACTTGATTTAAGATAGCATTAAAAATTTTGAAATGGGGGAATGTGATGTAATGATATGGAATGGAAAGGAGCTATATGAAATGAAATGGCTTATGCATTTAAGAACATAGGTCATAATTCTGTAATTCTGTTTATTTTTAATTAAATATGCAGCTCAACTCCTGAAGTGGGAAATGAAAAATTGCACAATTTGTTCAATTAATACAAATGATATCTCTCAAAATATCACGGGAAAAGGAAATGACAGTGAAGATGAAATGAGATTTCGAGAAGTTATGGAATTCATGAGCACCATGGAGAAGAAAATCCATTATATTTCAGATATGGAAACCAACCTCATAGACTTGGAGCATTTCCAAAATTTCAGTGTGATCACTGATCAAAGATTTAATGATGTTCTTTTCCAGCTGAATACCTTAGTTTCTTCACTGCATGGGCATGGAAATGCAACAGATGAAATCTCCAAGTCCTTAATGAGTCTGAATATCACATTGCTTGATTTACAGCTCAATATAGAAACACTGAATGGCAAAGTACAAGATAATACACTTAAGCAACAAGAGGTAAGGTTTTGGGACTGAAAATTTGCATGCTGGAATTTAATACATTCAGCTGATCCTGTCTCTTCAGGCAGCCCAGGAAAGCAAAAGTTACAAACCATGTTTCAACATCATCTTATTTATTTTGATTCCTCTGGTATCTTCCCTAAAAAGTTTCAAACGAATTTACATAATGTTTTCCCAGACTCTCGGCAAAATGGGGATTTCTTTTTCCTTTTTTTTTTTTTTTTTACCCATTGGATATAGATTTAAAGTATTTTAACTTTGTAAAGAAGGTCAGATTGTCTCTTTAAACTGTTTAACTGAATTACAAATTTTGAATTATCTGAGTAGATCTGTAGAGGTAGAAACTCTGTACTTGTGAATTGTACAACAGGCCTGATATCTCTTCATCATCAAAATATGGAAAGCTTATTTACATGGATATCTACAAAACTAAATTTAAAAAAAAATTCTGCTTGCAAAAGATATATGTAAATTTTCACATGCATAGAAAGCTATATTTAAAAAATTAAATTTTGAATAATTTAAACAATGTCTTATTGTCATTATAGTATCAAATACACAATAGGTTTTCTACTCTATGCAAGCTATGACATGCATTAAACATTTAGAAATACAGCAATGAGAAAAGCACTACCACCATCAGTCTGGAACAATCAGATACATACTCATATTGGGGCCAAGAGAGCAGTAGATATTCTAGTGCCAGTGGTTGGCAAAGTTTCTTTGTAAATTAGCAGTTATTAAATATTTTAGGCTTTATGGGCCATACAGTCTCTGTAGCAAGTGCTCAACTCTGTCATTGTATCAGTAAAGCAGCGCAGATAATATATAAACAAATGAGCAAAGCTATGGTCCAATAAATCTTTATTTACAAAAGCATACTGTGGGCTGAATTTGAATACAGGTCATACTTTGCTGCCCTTGGTCTAGATTCTTCTGTGGTTTAGATCTGAATTACCTTCTACTAATGAAAAATTAAGAAGCAAGTCATTTGTTTCAAATTGTAGGTTTTTTGTTGCTGGGCAATTATCATTTTTATTTTTCATAAAAAAGTACACAAATGACTAAAAGTTTATCATTTTTGAAAAAAGAAAAGTCTTCATATATAATACCTAGGATCTCTAGGGGGTTCTGGTGGCGTAGTGCCTAAGGCATTTAACTGCTAACCAGAAGGTTGAAGGTTCAAACCCACCAGCCACTCCTGGGAAGGAAGATTGGGTAATCTACTGTAGAGTTACTGCCTCAGAAACCCAAGAAGGGGTCACTATGAGTCGAATCAACTAGAGGGCAGCGAGTTTGGTGTTTGGTTTTAGGATCTTTGTAATATCTTTGTAATGTGAAACCTATAAACGTCCCTGTTACCTAAGTAATGCTAGCATCTTTGTAGTAGATTTGTTATGATAGATCCATTCCCAATTAAGAGGATTTTCTGTATAAAATCACAATTACACAATAATGATTGTAAAAAATGGATGTCATCTATAGAGCAAAGATAAAACATCTGAAGTTATAACAGCAACTGAAAAGCAATTAAATTATTGACTGGATAACCAACTAAAAAGCTGGAGAACAGAAAGAAAATTCTCCTTAATTATGTACTGACAGGTGTAATCACTCAGATTTTTTTTTTTTTCTCATGTGGTCGACATCTCACTGAGTCACACACAACAATGATTTAATTGTTTAAATATGGGGATCCTGTCAGTGAACTGTATTCCAACATGTATTTGTCATTCTGTTTCTTTCCCTATAACATCTTCAAAAATCTGTCAGCATTTCTCACACCCTTAATAAGTATCTAAGCTTATCAAATGCTATTGGTATGTCATGGACTGAGGGTATGGAACGTTTAGAGAAAATGCATAAAGAAGAAATTGTCCATAGCTTTGAAGGATATAGCAGGAAATGGAAGAGAAGTGTGAGTTAAATAAATAGAACCCAATTGGGCTGGAAGTAAGAGAGATGGAGAAGAAACAGTACTTTGGGTAGAAAGTGCTGCAAAGGGGTAGTGAGATGAGGTGATAGAAGTATAAGATGGAAACGTAAGGATATATTTGATTTGGGCAATGTCCTAAATCTAGCAGATGTGATAGAATTTCTGTGATCCCACATAAATTCAAATTTTAAGTATCAAACTAAATTGAAAACCATTTGGAAGGCAGAGGAAATAAAAAATATGCTTTGAAAACTAATGGAAATAATCAACATCTGGTGATCAATCAGATGTTAGATTGCACTTGTGTTTTGAACAGTGTCCCAGCAATAGAAAGAGAGGTACAGGAAATGGTGGAACTTCCAAAGCTAATTATTTTTAAAGACAATAGTCACTAGTAGAGATTTAGAAACTAGGTCAGTGTCAGCGTATATGTGTGTGTGTGTGTATGCACTAAAAACAAAACAAAACAGCATTGGGATTCATATCCCCATTTTCTGAAGAATCTAATTCATCTTTAAATCTTTAATCTAATGAAGGAATAAATAAATTAAATGAATGTCTGAGTCAGTAGATGTTTGAAGTAAAGGCTTATAAATAATACTAGCCTAATGCTTATCAAGGGCAGACTAAACATTAAGTTGGAAGAAAAAAAACAAGAACAGTAACACAAAATGGAAGCTATGGATGGAATTCATCATATCCTTTCTTCATAGAAAGGACCATAAGACTGCACAATTGAGTATCTTATTTTCACCGGAGCCACTGGTGATGGAATATGGAGAGGGTGCTTGAATGCTGTGCAGGACTTTTAAAAATTAAATGCATTTTTTCTCCTTCCAGTAAAAATTATTTCAAGTAGAATATGCTAATGTAAGCACTGTATGAACAGTCCAAAAAAGGGATTAAAAGACAGCCTCACATTTAGGTATGAAGAATATGAATAATATATATATACATATACATATA